CTTCAAATGTTGGAACACTTATTTCTCCCAGCTACACAATTGTGATTACAAAATGAATAATGATTGTGATGATAGTTTGTCCTTTCTAAGTGGTTGTAAAACTGGCTAAAAAGTACAAGTTATTATGAATAAACTTCCTGATGAAGCCACTGAATCATCAATTTGGTAATCTTAAAGTCTTACATGCTCTGTTAATTATCATCTTTTCCTCTCTTGGTGCTCTAAATACAACTAAAGGCATGAAAGAGTTGATCAAGCACAGTCTTGTGGCTAATTAGCTTAGTTGTCTAAAACATTTAATGGTTAATTATTATAGTTTTCTGCTATATTTGACTAAAATTGCTCCAGAAAGGGCACTTTTCAAAGATTTATTCAAAATCAGCACTTTTCTAATATGTGAAAGTCAAATGTAATTAAAAATAAATAATTGAAATTAAAAACTTTGATGAAAGCTTGCAATAACAACTCTCACATGTTGGTTTCTTTTAGGAGCGCATAATCTTAGTATTGAAAGTTGGTAAATTCAGAGACAAATGCATCCATCAATAAGAAGATTGTAATTTAAATTATCCCAGTTTTAAGAAAAGTATATAGCTTCTTCACAGAAGTCTACTTGGGAAAGAAATTTCATATGATAGTTAGGAACTTGTATTTGTTTTCATATGACTTTGCACTCTCAGCTTTATTTTTCACTTCAATAAAAGTTATTTTAGGCAATCCAAATTAGAAAGGAGGAATTGAAACTGTCATTATTTGCATATGAAATGAAATTGTACATAGAAAACCCTAAAGACTCTCCCCAAAACTACTAGATTTAATAAATGGGTTCAACAAAGTAGCAGGATACAAAATTAACATCCAGAAATTGGTGGCATTTTTATACACCATTAATGAACTCGCAGTAAAAGAAACTAAAAAAAAAAAAAAAAAAATACCATTTACCACTGAAACAAAAAAATTAAAATACATAGAAATAAACTTAACCAAGAAAATAAAAAAACTTTTACTCAGAACACCACAGGATATTGAAAAAAAGAAATAAAGAATGATATAAACAAGTGAAGCATATACTGTGTTTATGGATTGGAATAATCAACATCATTAAAATGTCCATAATACCTAAAGCAATCTACAGATTCAATGTAATCCTTATTAAAATACCAACAGTATATTTCACAGATATAGAACAAATACTCCAAATTTATATATGAAACCAAAAAAGAACCTGAAGAGCTGCAGCAATCTTGTGAAAGACGAACAAAGTAGGAGGGATCACAATACCGGATATTAAATTATACTATAAAACCATTGTAATCAAAACAATCTGGTACTGGCACAAGAGCAGGCATATAGATCAATCAAAAGAACAGAGAACCCAGAAATGGATGCAAGTTATTAGCTCATTTAATATTTGACAAAGGAGGTGAGAGCAAACAATAGAGTAAAGACAGTGTCTTCAATAAATGGTTTTGGGAGAATTCAACGGGAACGTGAAAAAAATGAAACTAGACCACCAACTTACACCATACATAAGAATAAACTCAAAATGGATAAAAGACTTAATTTTAAGTTATGAAACCATAATAATCCTAGAAGAAACCATAGGCACCAAAATCTCAGACATCTCATGTAACAGAATTTTCACTGATACATCAACCAGAGCAAGAGAAACAAAGGACTACATCAAAATTAAAAAGCTTCTGCACAGCAAAATAAACCATCAACAAAATGAAAATGGATCCCACTGTATGGAAGAACTTATTTGCCAATGATACATCCAATAAGGGGTTAATTTTCAGAATATATAACAAACTCATACAACTCAACAAAAGGAAGACAAACAATCGAATTAAAAAATGGACAAAGGACCTGAATAGACACTTCTCCAAAGAGGACATACAGATGGCCAAGAGATACATGAAAAAATGCTCAGTGTCACTAATCATCAAAGAGCTGAAAATTAAAACAATAATGAAGCATGGCCTTACACTGGCCAGAATGGCTGCCATCAACAATCAACAAACAACAAATGCTGGGGAGGGTGTGGAGAAAAGGCAACTCTAGTACACTGCTGGTGGGAATGCAGACTGGTGCAGCCACTATGGAAATCAGTATGGTGTTTCCTCAAAAAATTAAAAATGGAACTGCCATTTGACCCTGTAATCTCACTTCTAGGACTATATCCTAAGAATCCTGAAACACCAGTCAGATAGAATATGTATACCCCTATGTTCATAGTGGCACTGTTCACAATAGTTAAGATCTGGAAACAGCCCAAGTGCCCATCAGTAGATAAGTGGATAAAAAAGCTGTGGTACATGTACACAATGGAATACTATGCAGCTATAAATCAGAAAGATTCCTTACCCTTTGAGACAGCATGGAAGGACATGGAGAATATTATGCTAAGCAAAATAAGCCCATCAGAAAGACAAGTATCACATAATCTCACTTATACGTGAAATCTAATGAACAAAATAAACTGATGAAAATAGACCCAGGGACATGGAAGCATGGAACAGACTGATGGATCTCAGGGGGAAGGGAGTGGACAGAAAGAGATTAACCAAAAAACTTACATGCATGTACACATACCAGAGGACACAGACAACAGTCCAGTGAAGGCCTGGGTTAGGGGCAGGAGCTGGGTGGAAGGGGTCAATGGGGGAAAATTGGGGGGACATCTATAACATTTCAACAATAAAGATACATTTTTTAAAAAGTTACTTTAAAATTATTTTTTAACTTTATTTTTATTGTTTACACTCTTACGGATGTCCCCATTTCCCCCTGTTTGTCCACCTCTACTCAAACTTTGTCCACCTGCTTCCCTCTGGCCAACACCACACTGCTGTCTGTGTCTATGGGCTATGGTGTTCTTCATTTTGAAAGACAAACTATGGTAACACTAGGTCATTATCCTTAAGGACTTTATAGATTCTTTAAACAGCCAATGTTCAAACAACAGGTATGTGGCTTCATAAAGTGATTAAACAACACAGAGCAAAACTTAATTGAGGAGTTATTGATCAGTAATATTATTTGTTTTTCCAAATTATATGTTCCTTAAAATGACTAATGTACAAATATTTGTAACACTTGAGAATTGTATGTGGATTTAAACATTCCTATTAGAAGAAGCAACACGTAAGAGTTCTTTGTGATTAACAGTAAAATAAAACATAAAAAGGGTTAAAACAAGCAGGTTTTACAAATATAATTAATATATTAAAACTGAATAATCAAAATTATAATATAAACATACTATAGCTACACAAATATATAACCTTCTCTAAACCAATATTCAATAGCATCTCCCAGAGAAGATTAATACTACAAAATATTTGAAAATTATATAGTCAGAGAATTCTTTAGGGTCCTTTTGTTATTTACAACATAACATAAATAAGAATTAATGTCATCCTTCAGTTCTTAAATCTTAGAACTTTGTTATTTAGTAAACCATATACATAGAAGAAATCAGAAAAAAAATTTGAACAGTATAGCACACTGTCGGTTATAGTTGTATTAGGCAGTGAGTAAAATATGGTAAAAGAAATGTTTTCATTGTTATAATTTTAATATATAATAAGCTATCAAATATAATAATGTTAATAAGAACTGTCTGGCTATTATTATTATCCCTTTGTGCACTTTTTTTTTCATTTCACCCTCCCAAAATAACCATAAGCAGATCTAAGTGTAGCAAAAAATAAGTAATGTATTCAATATGCTATATATGTTTAGAGAAAGAAAAATATTTTTCTTGCATGATCATGAAAATGTCTTTTGATGCTGACTTTGAAGGACAGTTGAGGTTTTCATAAGCCAAGGAAAGGGATCAGAGATGGAAGGGAATTTGAATATTTAAATTTGATATGAATAGTCAGAAAGTCAAAAGGTATTGTAATGGTTCGAAGTGTTTGGATAGAACATTTATCCTCATGAATTTTCCAATTACATGAAGAAACACTTTTTTTTTTTTATCCTCACCCGAGGATATTTTTCCATTTTTTTGTACAGATAGAGTGGGAGGGAGAGAGAGGAAGAGAGAGAGAGAGAGAAACACATGTGAAAGGGACACATCGAGTGGCTGCCACCCGCATGACCAACCAGGGCCGGGGACAAACTGCAACCGAAGTATGTGCCCTTAGTGGGAACCAAACCCGGGTCTCTCCGGACCGCAGGCCGACGCTCTAACCGCTGAGCCAAACTGGCCAGGGCAAGAAACACTTTTTAATTGAATTTATTTCATCATTAGTAAGGGTTTATTTTAGTAAATTAGGACCAAATAATTGGTCAAATTTCTACGCATAGAAAGAATCCAAATAAATATCTAACCTGGATGTTAGTGAACCAATAGTAATTTTACATGGAATTTTAACAACTCAACTAACTATGGGGCCTAGATAGGGCATTTTTCTCATGATATTCTAAAGAAAACATTTCCCTTTTTGTCCATATAAATTATTTTCATATTGTCAGACTTCTCTGCTATATATAGGGCAGGGAAAAAGTAGGCTTACAATTGTGAGTATGAAAAACACAGTTTATTCTTAAATTATTATTAATTGTTGTATTATTTTCCATATGAACAACTGTAAACTTACTTTTACCCCACCCTGTATACACTCTTTATCTTCTATTTGTCTTATGCACTTACTGATCTTTTAATAGATAATCTCACTTATTTGAAAACCAGAAATTGAATATTATGACCAGAGAAAATTTAAAACTTTATTTTAGAAATATAGATTAGAATGAACTCATATAATAACAACATTGTTGTTATATTTAAATTAAAATTTTGAAAAAATGTATATAGGTGCAATGTTTCAAGTTGTTAAAATGAAAATGATTAAACGCTAAAGAAAACTGGCTATTTTGTGATAACTTTACACTTCAAACATATTAAATCACGTTTTTCTATTAAATAAATATACAGCAAACAGATAAACACTTTTTCCTTATAATTCTCTCTATTTTCTTTTCCTTTGCAGGTGACGCAAACATCTACTATTCATGATGTTAAACAAAAATTTCACAAAACAAGTAAGTTTCATATATACTTTAGAATTTATATTACAGTCTTATTTTTATCAAATTAGTTCAGAATTATCTGTCAGAATAAGTTCAATATCATGATGGAAAGAGTGTGTGAAAACCATATTTTTTTAGCGTGGAACTCAGAAATAATATTGTGCTAACTGCCTCTTGACCATGACTTTCTTGTATCTTTCTCTCTAACTGATGCTTTAATTCTCATTATTCTTTTGGTTTTTCACAAAACTGTTTTCTAGTTACTATTTAAACAATTTTTATCCTAACAGGACACTTCCTATATTAAAAAAAAATTAATCAATACAAAGTATTTATTTATATTTAAGCAAAATATCAAGCAAATTTTTAACTCTGTGTATTTATAGTTGTCAAATTGCTTCCACATAGAAATACTTTATATAATGCATTTAAATTATATTATATAATTTTATTAATAGCTAAATATTAAGAGATCTCATTATTATTTACTTGGAAATATTTATATAAAGCTTGTATAAATTACAAGGTTTAAAAGAGCTTTTTATTTTTACAATATTTAAAAAAGTTTACTCATAACATACTAAAGCACTATAATTGCTAAGAAACATTTTTAAGTAAGCTTTTTTTTAGAGCAATTTTATAGACCAGTAACAAAATTGACAGAAAATACATAGAGTTCCCATTTATACATGTAAAGCCTCCTCCACCATTAGTGTTCTATATCAGAGGGGTACATTTTTTGCAACCCAATAATCTACATTGACACATCATTACTACCCAAAGTCCATAGTTAACATCAGAGTTCATTCTTATTGCTAGGGAGAATTTCTTTTCTTTCTTTTTTTTTCAATGCATTTTTATTCTTGTAAGAAAAAACACACATACCATTTTAGGGTTCTGGTTTAGTAGTATTAACTATATTTACATTGTTATGAAATATTTGCAGAACTTTTTCATCTTGTAGATCTGAAGCTCTGTATCCACTGAACAACTCTCCATTTCTTTCTGTTTCTATGAATTTGATTACTTTAGATACGTCATATAAGTAAAATCATACAGTATGTTTTTGTTTTGTTTTGTTTTGTTGTGGGTTTTTTTGTGGGTTTTTTTGGGGGGCGGGGGGCTGGCTTATATCACTTACCTCAGTGTCTTCAAGGTTCAGCCATGTTGTAGCATGTGTCAGAAATCCCTTCCTTTTTAAAGCTGTATAACGTTCCATTGAATGCATATACTGCATTTTCAGTCCTTTGGATTTAGTTGAGCAATGTTTCTTTCTGAAAATATTTCTAAAGCTCACAATTTATAACATTGAACTGTTTAATAATACCTTAGAGTAAAATAGGCAGAATTGTTTTTATTATTTTTATTATTTCTTTCAGGAAAAAAAATAGGTATTTACTGAATACTTTCTATATATGTGACATTATGTTAGGCATAATTACTAAATTAAGGTAGAAGACATCCTTGTTAGCCTTCAAAAATAGCCTCATGATAAATAAAATAGCCAAAGTAGCCCACTAGTGTGGCTCAGTGGCTTGAGCATCATCCCAAGGACTGAGAGGTCCCGGCTCAATTACTGGTCAGGGCACAGGACTGGGTTGTAGGTTCGATCCCCAGTGGGGGGCCTGTGAGGGGCAGCTGATCGATATTTCTCTCTGACATTGATGTTTCTATCTCTCTCTCCTTTCCTCTCTGTCTAAAAAATCATTAAAACATATTTAAAAAATAGTTAATGTATCTAAAACTTATAAACATTGGGGAGAAAATGATTCACAATTTTTAATAAGAATAGAAAGCATGAACAGTTTGGAACAGAATTACTTGAAATATGCTTAAATTCTTAAAAAGGTTGAGTCCTGGTGTTTTGCCACAAGGACATATAAGATTTGAATGTGTAGAAGAGAACCAGACAGGGATTACAGTAAAAAGAAAAGAACAAGACAAAACAGATCAAAACAGAAGATCTGCCATGGATTAGTTCTATGGTTTTAGTAATCAAATTCTGTGTGTATTATGCCAACATTTTACAAATTATTGAAAAAGTTTTCAAATTCCAAATTTGTATCTTATCACAATCTATGTGAACCATGTTAGCATTATTATTTCCACAAGTATTTCCAGTTTATTTACATTCTAAATGCAACTGATTTGATTTATTCATTTCTTTACATAAAATATAATTCTTTTTAAGTAGTAATTTAGTATTTGCTTCTTTGGAAATACTAAAATCATTTTTTTCTAATAAAATAGTTTCAGAAAATTTGGATTGTAGTAAAATGTGAAAAGATATTTGAAAATTACAAAGTAGAAAGGCGCAAGAAAATGTTTTCATTTAAATTGATATGACAATATGAGAAATGCATCATTTCTATATTTGTCTGGAAATGAAATTTATCAAAGGCTAATAGATAGAGTGTGAAGTCACCTTGACATGTAATTCTATGAGTATTTTTTGATAGTTTGTGACTACATATAGAAATAGAGAAGTTACATGGAGTCTTAATATTGTAGAGCCAGAAGTTTTATATTTACGTGGTCCGGAGCCCATTTCTAGTTATTAGGCAAGTAAAGTTAAGTAGTTTTTATAAAATCCTCAAAATGACCAGTTTCAGAAATGGAAAATTGGATATGACAATATTAGGGTTAGTTTTAATAGTTGATTATATCAATGCTTAGGGATTTATTGACAAGTGTTATTTTACTTTTCTAAGCACAGTTCAAATCTTTAACAGCTTTCTGTAAATTGTAATTTTATTTACTTTTATTTTTTTCTTATCCTCACCCAAGGACACTTTTGCATTTATCTTCAGATAGAGCAGAAGGGAGAGAGGAAGAAAGAGAGAGAGAGAGAATCAACAATGTGAGAGAGACACATCGAGTGGTTGTCACCCACACAATCCCAACTGGGGCAGGGGACGAACTGCAACCAAGGTACGTGCCCTTAGTGGAAACCGAACCAGGGACTTTATGGTCCACGGGCCAACACTCTGACCACTGAGCCAAACCGACCAGGGCACTTTATTTACTTTTTCAAAAGTATCTTTATTTTGAAAGTATACCTATCACTTACAAAAAAATAATATTTAGAAAATTTTGCATTTATACTATATTTTAAAAATGTATTGGTCTTCAGATTATACAAAATATAGGCACAAAACCATTTTTTGCTTATATCAAATTACAGCAAAATATCTCAAACCCATATGTCTAATATATTTGTCAAATCATGAAAGGAAACCACAGTGTTGACACTAACAATAAATGACTATATGTACAAGGATTAAAAAAAAGTTATGTGCTGATTGCCTTAATATCTTATCTCTAAAGCATATTTTAAGACCATGTAACACTGCATACTTTATTCAAATTTATAAATATATTTAAAAATAATATATTAAATAATAATATAAATAATATATATAATAAAATAATATATATATATAATACAAGTATAATTATTAGGTTTTTATAGACTTTTCTTTCTTATGCCAAATTATTATTTTTTTTACATTTCTGCTGCTGTTTATTTTCAGGCCCTGGAGTTATGATAAGAATTGTTAACCTTGTACAAAAAAAAAATAACTTATCAGAAGACTGGTTTCCAGAGGGAAGAATGCTCTCACATGTCTTTATTCTCTAGCCTCTAGGTGTTCTCTCTGATCTTGATTTCCTGTCTGCCTACTATTTCTCTGACTTCTATCAGCTTTACATTTTCCTTAGTTTTATTTTGGAACTTTTTTTTACTGTGGTTTTTCTTGTCATAAAATGACTCTCGTATGTTCTTCCAAGGTTTATATTTTTCAGTTCTGCTCTGTTATGAGCCATTTTGCAGATTATCCTGCTAACACCAGCACTCAGTGGGCGAGGAAAGAGAGAGGAAAGGAAAATGCAGTTGCAGTGTTGGCTGCTACGGAAGAAGGGGAAGAGCTATGGTTTTCACAGAAGGAGACACCGATTAAACTAGAAATTTTATATACACAGACACACAAACACACCCATGAATATATTACTTTCACCTATTTTTCCTCATCTCATTTAATGCACCAAAAACTGGTGAAATGCCCTCAGCTGCGAATTCTCCAGCAGCCTTTCCTTACCTCCACCCGCTCAGTGCTCACAGGGATGGTGGTCCTTGCAGGAGCCTGGAAGCCTCCCTCGGAGGCTCAGCAATCTCCACGCTCCCGTCTCTGCATGGCACCCTCTCTTCACTCCATCTTCTCACCAAGGCTGCACAGAGGAATTAAACCTTGGCAAAACCAAGCTGAAAATAGGGATTTATATGAGTCCAGGTGACGCTGAATGAAATAGTCTGAATAATTTCTAAGATCTCAAGAGACCTTTAAAAAAAATCTCTGGGTATATACAATTTCATATTCTAGCTGAGTAGCATTACCCTATATCATCTTACTAAATTTAAAACTCATTTTATGTATTCAATTTATTCTCTCTTGGGATACAATATGACTGTAGTAGAATAATAATTGTTAATATTTTGGGGAAAAAATAGAGCTTACAAAGAGCCATGGCCAATGATGGAATTACTAATTTAAATCTGTAATAATATGTTTTATTTTATAGATTTAAATAATCAAAATGCCGAAATAACAAATGAATTTCAGGGAAAAAATTCTGCCTGAAAGTTAAAAGTTATTTTGTTATGCTTTATCATATTCAAAAATATTTAAATTCTTATATATTTACCCAAGTTCACATAGTTAATCGTTGGCTGAGCTGGAATTTAAACTCAGGGAATATGACTGTACCCTGTATTCCTACCACTAACCTCCATTGCCTCTAATGTACTGAGCCATATTTTACATTAATTTCTTCAGGCAGAAATTCAAACAATATCTGTTTATTTAGATTGGAAAAGGCTATCACTAATCCCCTTTTTCAAATAGGAAACAAACTAGAAAGTTAAATTTTAAATTATGCAATGAATAATAGTGCATCAGTCTAAACATAGCTCACAATGTGTTACAGTGACTGAAATTCTGTCAGATGTCATATGG